TTCCAAGTTTGATTAAATTCTCACTTTTCTGATTTATTTTTGAGTTTATAGATCTACACCAATGGGAAGCAAGGGGCAGGGCAAACACTTTTATTAATGCTTATTATATAAAGTACTGTACTGAGTCCTTGGATTATGTTATATTTATTTAATCTTCATATAAATTCTTTGTGGATCTATTATTACCCCTACTTTCCAGATAAGAAAATTGAGGCTCAGAAGTTAAATAACTTGTTTAATATCACTCAGCTGGTATACAATCAACTCAATATATATAAGAAATGGATATACGCAGAAGGCATTTTTATTGCTGTGATACTTACATAAGTAATTTGATTGCTCTTATTTCATTGGGCTGGATAATACAAAATTGGCAATATTCAGGTGATTTTCTTCCACAGAATATTATAAGGTTACCTAATTATAAGAATTACTGTCAGGTCTTTCCTTGTCCCAAACTTCACCTCAATAGCCATCTTACTAAAATCAAATGTTTACCTGATATGAGCAAAAGAAGTCATAACTTGTTTATCAACACTGCAAATACTGGAGTTACTGATATATATCATTTAAGAAGTTCATTGATGTGTGCTTGGAAGTTTCCTGAATAAGGCACAAATAATGTCAGTGATAAAAAAGAAAGACATTTTGAATTTTACAAATGCCATTAAACTTGTGAAGATATTCAGGGATAATCTATCTATAGTATAACGTGAATTTATAGTCTAGAGTTTCTTCAGTAGCTAGATCCTAATTTGTGGTGTTTTAAAGAAAGGTTTAATTGGTATCACTTTACATTCAGTGATAACAATTGCACTGCAATTTAACTAAGCTACATGGTTTATTTTCATGTAATTACACATTAACGTTATTTAATCCATGCAATTATATACCAAAACCACAGATTCCACAACTTAACCAGTAATGGGTAGTTATGTGGATCAAGAATTTTAACATCAGGCTACTTAGTAGCTTCTGTTCTTTACATTAGACGCCATGATATGGTTATTTGCCATGAGCCCGCTACATTGGAACTGATGCTGTATAAAAATATGAGACTGTGTAAATGTCAAAATACCCCCAAACTTACAAAGACTTCAATACCAGACTAATTACTAATTTTTTTTTTTTTAATGTGGAAGTGAAATTAGTTAAATCCTCAGCATTGATTTCTATGACAGGAGAATTTTATTTTGATTTTTCAAATTTAATAGGCATTAGTTTTACTAAGGTTGGGCAATCTTCTTCTGTAGTGATACCACCTTGGAAACCCAAGGAAAGGTCGCTATGAGTAGGATCCGACTTGATGACAGTGAGTTTGTTTGTTTGTTTGTTTGTTTGTTTTTTGAGTACCTTCTGTATTATAGCTAATTTGCAGTTTTGGGGGATATATTACAGTAGGATATGATTCAATATTTTCCTTTCTTCTTCTCTATGAAGCTACCTGATTAGAATAAGTGTTCCGTATTGTTTGAATGAATAAATATTTGAATCCCTGAATGAATGAATGAACACATACTAAAAGGACTCTTATATCATGAAGGTTGTGAACATACTCTGTTATTCCATGGGCTTGAATAAATCTTTTGCATTCTCAACACTGTGCATTGGCTACTTGACAATATAGTGTGTAACATTCTGCTTAAAGTATGTCAAGTAACCAAAAATGATCCAATAGCTTGAGCAGGTTGAAGAACAGCACTTTGGTGTCCTTTCTTGCTCTTGATCTATCCCCCTGTAGTTGTTTGCACTTAGCATCCCACAGTGACACAGCACACCTCAGAGGATTAGGAAAGGAGAATTTGTGCCCTTCTGGCTTCTCAGAGTCTGGTGGAGCCTAATACTCACTGTGAGTAGACCTTCAGCTATGTTCCTGGGGCAGCCAAAGCTCTACACGAAGACACCATGGTTGATAGCCACTTCAAAGGAAGCAGTCAAGCCTGGGTGTCACTGCATTGTGGGCAGCAAGTATAGCCCATGCATGGTCAGCAGCAAGGCCCTAACTAGATGAGTATGGCAGAGGGAAGGTTTGGGGTGTTCTGATCACAGAACTAAGGACATTGATGATGAGACCACTGACTGAGTGATGAGAAGAGCCTTCTCACTAGGCCATCTCTTGACAAGACAGTGGACCTGGAATTGGCCCACTGACTTGAGGTCTTTTTCTGATTTGGGTTTATTTTCCTTTTCAACTCTCAATCAGGCCTAGCTTTAAAGGGTCATTCATTCTTCAGTCTTTTGAGGACTAAAGATCATTTGATCCTGCATAGGACCCTTGCGTATACTCATGAAATAGCAGGAAGGAATTTCTTTAGCCTGATCTGGAGGCTACTAGGAGCCATTCCATGTCTTCTGAGGCTCTGGGTTACTGGGCTCCAGGGGAGAGTGTTCGGGGTAGGGAGGGTAAGTATAGACTTTCAAAGGTGGTATCACCTCCCTAATCACCCTTTATAGTGCCTTTCCCCATCCTTATCTAGAGATCAAAATCTCTAAGTACTGCCTTCCTTTTACCTACAAATTAAAAAAGCCAATGATGATCTTCTATACACAAAGAGAAAATATTTAGAGATAGTGGTATAAAATGCAAATTAATACCTTTAATTTTATTCTGGTGCTTCACCACATTCCCCAAAGGTAAGTAGGAAACAAAGAAGCATGCAAAATGATTTGGACTAAATCATAGTCGGTCTACATGATCCTAACCAGATTCTTCGTTCAAAGTATACACAATTATATCATTGCTAATTAACAAGATTCTCTCTGATAATTAACTAGATTCTCTCTGATCTTAAGTTGCTCACTACTCACACAGACACAAGAGAGTCACACTGTATTGCTAGTGCTGGGATGTGCCATACAGTTCCTCTGTTTTGGTGTGAGAGACACTGTGTATTACTCTGTGTCCAGGGAGCACTGAATTTGGGTTGGAATGAGTGAGCTATAATGAGGCTTAGCTAATTCTGGAGAACATATACACTTTTCAAGGCCATAAGGGGAATGTTGGAAGCATTAAAGTTGTAATTTCAAAATATTATCATGCTCAAGAGAACAGTTTTAGAGTCTAAATAATAGATTCAGTGACTATTTCAAGTAATTTACTTAAAACCTTATAAGGACTATTTGCATATTTGGCTTATAAAATGCTACAGCTTTCTCTGATGAGAAGGAGATAGACTTCAGACTGGTTGAGATTCCTTCAGTGACTGATGAGGAGAGTGTGCAAAGACAGTTGGAAAGAGCTGAGCTCTTGGAGTCCAGTCAACAAGGTTTCCATCCAGGTTCTTTGAAACTTATTAGTCTGGGTGCTGGGGAAAGCTTTTTATTCCTGGTGAGCCTTAGTTTCAATATTTTCAAAATGGGGATGATACTATTTATTTCGTGGAATTCTAATGGGGATCAAA